TTTGTTCCAGTCTTTACAGGAGGCCTCTTGGAGAAGAGGGCTCAGAGGGGCCTGGCTGGGTTCTGTCAGGGAGCGTCTCCTTAGTGAATGGTCGGAGCCAACAGTAAACCCGGGTTTTGAGTCCTGAGGCCGGCCAGTTGAGAAGATTTTAGACATTGAGCTCTCAAGTCTCTAGGTGGTGGAGTGAGGCCGCGGTGGCAGTCCACTAGATTTCCTGGTTTGCCTGTGAATGTTTGTGGTGACGTGGAGACCTCAGAGTCGCAGGCAAGGCTACTTCCATCCGGAGCAGAGCCCAGGAGACGTGGGCATCCTGGTGGGCTCACGCAGTGGCCCACATGTGATGGGCAGTGGTGACCGGTTCTCTGAAGTTCCTGCCACCTTATCTGCCTTCAGCTTCCAGGGCTTTTTCAGACTCTGGAGGAAAAGGGCAGCTACACGACACCTGAGTACCAGGATGGGTCTGGGCAGTCACACCAGGAGGGAGGGAGGAAAATGGGAAAAATTAATATTTGGAGAGGTGTACCAGATATTGAAGTAAATGGAAAGGCCTGGGGACCTGCTGAATGCTGACAAATGTGTAATTTGGCAGTGCAGTCCAGTGAACAGGCAGATAATAAAACCTCAAAGGCAACAGACAGGACTGGACTCTGATGACCCACAAGGTGTATTATTTTCTCCACTGAGACAAAATTTCTGTCTGTAGTCACTTCCATTTTTGATCAAAGATAAAGTAAGATTATTCTTGTTTACAAAATAGCTCCGGTCTCACTAGATTTGGGCTGATTCTTTATGTAAGTGCAGCAAGAATAATGGTTGACACACAGCCCTTTTAAAGTTTGCCTTGTGGAATTTTTTACAGGGAATCTCAGACTGGACATTTAAAAGCTTCCAAGACTAGGAAGTCAAGAAAGTGCCAGCAGAATTCTAGGCACTAGGCACTAGGAAGCAAGAAAGTGCCACTGTAGACTCGAGTGAACTCCTCTCTGCTCAAGGTTCCCCCAATATCCCAGGGTTCCTACGCCTGTAGGAGGCGACCTTCCTCGCTCCCTGGGAGACTGGGGACTCTGGATGCCCAGCACCAGGCTGGGTTTTCCCAGAGGGCTTTTTAAGCCTTGGTTCCATAAAGTGACTGCAGTTCCTTAGAACCATCTGGTCATAGCTGAATCCATGTGTCATTTTCAAACATGACATTCCTTGGTAATACAACCAACGTTTTCAGTTATGTCCTATCGCAAAGAAGACAGTCTTATTAAACCTATGCAAATAACTATATTGCCATGAAAATAAGGATACTCAATAATAGTTTCTGATTTTTGGAGGGATCAGGTGCAGAGAAAAACATAAATGCTTCAATTTTGTTTATAGAAGTATAACTTACTAGACTGTTATGAGTCATAGCTTAAGAGAAAAGGGAAAGTTTTTTTTTTTTTTCTCTAATATCCAGAAAATGGGACATTAAAAAGCCAACAAGGGACTTCCCTGGTGGTGCAGTGAATAAGACTCAGCACTCCCAATGCAGGGGGCCCGCGTTCCATCCCTGGTCAGGGAACTAGATCCCACATGCATGCTGCAACTAAGAGTTCTCATGCCACAACTAAGGAGCCAGTGAGCCGCAACTAAGGATCCCTCGAACTGCAACTAAGGAGCTGGCCTGCCACAATTAGGACCTGGCACAACCAAATAAATAATAATTTAAAAAATAAACAACTCTTAAAAAAAGAAAAGAGCCTACAGTATTCTAAACAGAAGCCATAAAAATTATAATCATGCTTTGTCAGTTTACTTAGTCTCATGTAGTTAGTTTTTAGCATCTTTATTGGAGTATAACTGCTTCACAATGGTGTGTTAGTTTCTGTTTTATAACAAAGTGAATCAGTCATACATATACATACATCCCCGTATCTCCTCCCTCTTGCATTTCCCTCCCACCCCTCTAGGTGGTCACAGAGCACTGAGCTGATCTCCCTGTGCTATGTGGCTGCTTCCCACTAGCTAGCTATTTTACATTTGGTAGTGTATATATATCCATGCCACTCTCTCACTTCGTCCCAGCTTACCCTTCCCACTCCCCGCGTCCTCAAGTCCATTCTCTATGTCTGCGTCTTTATTCCTGTCCTGCCCCTAGGTTCTTCAGAACCAATTTTTTTTTTTTTAGATTCCATATATATGTGTTAGCATTTGTTTTTCTCTTTCTGACTTCACTCTGTATGACAGACTTTAGGTCCATCTACCTCACTACAAATAACTCAATTTCGTTTCTTTTTATGGCTGAGTAATATTCCATTGTATATATGTGCCACATCTTCTTTATCCATTCATCTGTCCATGGCACTTAGGTTGCTTCCATGTCCTGGCTATTGTAAATAGAGCTGCAATGAACATTGTGTCATGTAGTTAGTTTTCGTTCTGCTTGATCTTGGGAGAGCAGTTCCTGGGCCCATGGGTTTCTCCACTAGAGTTCTGGGTTCTGATCCTTAGTCCAGAGGGATGGCGCTGCCCGAGGTCCCTGCCCGGTCCTTCCGCAGGTCTCTGAGGCAGGCCCTTTTTGTTGAGGATGAAGCCCCCTGGCTTGTAGCAGATTACAAATGCTTTGGAGAAGCATCAAAGTGAAACAAAGTTACCTGCAGCTGACAAAAGACTTAAAATGGCTGTGGTTAAAGAACTGATGAGAGGGGCTTCCCCTGGTGGTGCAGTAAGAATCCGGCTGCCAGTGCAGGGGACATGGGTTCGAGCCCTGGTCCGGGAAGATCTCACATGCCATGGAGCAGCTAAGCCCGTCTGCCACAACTACTGAGCCTGCGTTCTAGAGCTTGCGTGCCACAACTGCTGCACCCGCATGCCGCAACTAGTGAAGCCCGCACGCCTTGAGCCTATGCTCCGCAACAAGAGAAGCCACTGCAATGAGAAGCCCGCGCACTGCAGCAAAGAGTAGCCCCCGCTCGCCGCAATCAGAGAAAGCTCATGCACAGCAACAAAGACCCAACGCAGCCAAAAATAAAAATTAAAAAAATAAAAAACTGATGAGAGGTCATCATAAAAACACAATTGACAAGGAAATTTGGGTGTTTCTGTAACATACACACCATTTTAAATATTAACTATAATTATGAGTGATAACATTATACCAGAACATATGGAAAGCAAGCAAAATTTCTAAAATATTTATATTAATAGCGTTTACCTGTACAAATATAACATATGGAAAGTTAAGATTCTCTTCTTATTTGACAGTGCTTCCCATGCAGTTTACCATAACAGACAGACCTAATTATTTTTAACATCCCTTCTTTTACAAGGTAAAAGTACAAACCACTGAGATTTTCCAAGGACCCTCTGGGAAATCCCAAAGCCATTTTGAGATCCAGACTTCATTTAGGATTGATTTGGGGAAGACAGAGTTGTCCAAAATGTCAGAAGATTTGAACACTTGATTAAATAGGATCCCAGCTCACTGCAGAACAAGACTCAGTTACCTCCTTAACCAAGTGACAATACGGGAGCTCACAAGTAGGAACAGGAGGAAACAGGACTGCAGACCTGGGTTTTTGACCAGGGGGGACACTCAGTTCTCCCGAGTGGCAACTAGGGGTACAGGGAATTATTTTAAGACACAGCTTTTTTCCCTAGGAAGATTATTCAAAAGGTAGAGAGAAACCTTTTACAATCTCTCATTAAAAGCAGACCAAAAATCCAAGAAATCTCATTTTAACAGAGAGGAAACCAAGCTCTACTTTTGTATCAGTATGCTATTGATGGTAAAGCTCATTTAAG